AATTTGAACGCTCCAGGTTCAAATTTAAGTTATTCACATAAACTCCGCCCCTTGTGGGCGGAGTCCAGTCCTGCCAACCACCATAAGAGTTCCCATCCTACCTCCTGTGCTCCTACCAAATTTGAACGCTCTAGGTCCACGGAAGCCGGAGTTATGAATTTCCGTCGCACACACACATACACACATACATATACACAAACACAAACACATACACAAACACACACATATACACACAAAGACACACACTCACAAATACACAAGCACACGCACACACGCACACACACACAAGCACACACACACAAACACATACACACAAACACACACATACACTTACAAACACACACACAAACACACACAAACCCACACAAACACACACTCACAAACACACACACAAACACAGACAAACCAACAGACATCCTTAGCGCGTTATATATAATAGGATGGTACGTGCCTATCCCGTCATCGAGTAGTGAGGAGCGGAAAGAGTTAGAAGATTTGTACCTTGACGCTACGACATTCACTAGTCGCGGGTTAAGAGTTCGGTGACGTGAATCTAGAATATGAAATCTACTATCTTCTCGCGCAAAACATTCCCCAGACTGAATAGCAACAGCCAGCTTTGGCTCCCAGGCAATCGCCGGGACACTGGAACCTGAATACAGCTTCACGACGATCGTAACCTGGGGCAGAGAATGCTAAGAATGGAGCTGTTGATTCAAAGCCTATGGCTGAAAAGGTTCATAAGACCGGGGTCATGCTGACGATAAGTTCCACTCATATATTCAACTTGAAACTAACCGAGCATTAAAACATTCGCCATCTTTCAGTATATAATCATTATTCTTGTCATCGTAACCATCATTATGAGGGCCTCCTCTAAATCGAAAGTTGATAAATATATCGACAGACACAATTTAACGAAAAGTGAAGGACCTGCTTGATTTCTGCCGATTCTTATTTTCTCCACCTTCGAAAACTGCCGGAACGACCATAAGGGAAGCCGGTGGGGCATTCGTATCAAAGTGAGGCAAACTAAAATTCTTTCAATCACCAAGTCCCCTAAAAAGCTAAGAGCTCTTTAAACACACTGAGTGACATACCAAGCGAGAGAGGTTTTCTCAAAACCAAGTTTCATTGAAAGAAAACATCGTTTGTCGCAACCCGTAGCGTTTATATATTTCCACAGCTGCTCTCGATAAACCTCGGCATAATGTCGAAGTAATTTTATTGGTATAACTCCTCACGAGGTCCACAATACCTTAGTGGCTTAAGTTTCAGTGAATGCCTTCTTTGGAGCTTGGAAGGATGGAAGCAAATTTATGAGGCTATTCAGGTCACGAATCCAAAAATGAACCGGAAGGAGGAATGGGTGTCAACGCGCGAACTTACATCCTATATAAAGTTTGCCTTTGACAGCGAATTTCGAACTCGAGACAACGGATCTACGTCGCTCAAGAGGGCCGGTTCCGTTAATCAGGGAGGTACGGTATATTTTATTCACCTAGGTTTAAAGTGATAGTCAAGTTGGTCTCGAAGATATTGTGGGGTGTCGAGATGTTTGATCGGGTAACTTCATGAATTTGCTTCCGTCCTTTCAGGCTCCGAAGAAGGCGGTTCCGCCGAAACGTGATCCATTAAGCTGTTGTGAATCTCGTGTGGAGTATTACCAAAAAAGTAACTTCGACATTTGAATATTTCCACAAAGAGCCTATTATCACCAAATGGCAACTTATTCACGCCACCTTTCAGTCGCTCGAAATTATTTGATAATAGCTCGGCGCACATTGATAAAATCGCTACGAATTTTACATTTGAGACTCAACCTTTTGATTTTTCCCGACTGGTGAATATCACAAGTATGAGGGTTTGTATTTGTATCGGTGTAGTTGCAAAAACGGGAGATGATTCGCTAATGACCGGGATGCCCATGAATTGGTAGTCTGCAGCACCTTCTTTACAAAAAGGAAGCCTCAGAAGGTAACCTACAGCAGTGGAGGAAAAGAAGCTCGAATAGATCATGTGCTCGTGAGAGGATCGTCCTTCAAAACTGTAACGAACATCAACATAAAGTTGGCCTCTCAGATCCTAAAGGACCGATCCAGCAGACCTGGAGCAATGCTGTGGAAGTCATCCTACATTGTGCGAGGGAGACGTTGGGAGAAACTCGAGGTGGATACGAGGAGACAAGGAAGCATGGTTCTGAAATGATGAAGTCCAACAAGTCGTGAGGCAGAAGACAGCGCCTACGAGCACTAGAAGAAGAAGCGAGCTCCAAGAGAACTGGCCGTCTACAGAACTTATAAGGGATCCACCAAGGCTGCCCTAGCGAAAGCAAAGAATGCGTAAATGGACGCTTTGTACGAGAAACTCGATGGCCAACAAGCAGATAAGTTCGTCTTCAGATTGGCGAAAGCGCGGCACCGGGCTACGCAAGAAATCGAAGTGGTGAACTAAGTTAAGTACACGGAGGGTGTAATCCTGACAAAGCCTGGTGAGTTCAGACGTAGGTGGGAAGAAAACTTCGACGGCTCCTTAAAGGCACCGTTCACGATAATTTAGGGGTATCCGGTATTTCACAGATAGTGATAGGTAAGGCCTACATTAGGACAATGGTAAAGCATAAAACGCGAAAAACAGCGAAAAAAAAAAGAAATATAAACAGTAAAAAAAAAGAAAAAAGGGTTGGACGATTTTCGTAATGGAAAAACGGCGGTTAAGGGAATTTTCAGGCGAGTAGACGAATGCGACGTAATGTCTGCCATTGCACACAACACGCTCAAACGGCTGATTTTGGCTTCTTCGTTAATATTATTTATTCTACTGACGATATTAAGATTTTGAGATTATTGTGCCTGATCCTTTTGATGACGGCTGAGAATAATTTACTAGAACGGAATAGAGCAGAACATTAGTCGAATAGTAGAAATACAGACGAATACTTGTACCAGAAGGAGGCGGTCGACCAGCTGACCGTCTCTGGCAATTTGCCAACCAGCTTATCGATTTTTCACCAACTTCGCTCCAATACGAAAGTGGTGAACGGCAACTAGATTTCGTAGTCAGCCTAGCGGGGGGCGGAGGGCGACCGTGGCTCACTCTCCGGCCCCTTATTGTGCCCTATCCAGACTGTTTTCGACCTCATTGCCGCACAATTGGTATCGGGGGGGGGGNTCCGATGATTTCACCGTTTTCTACCCTAGCGTTGATCTCGCGCCGTTGAAGGGCTTTTGTCCACAATTCTGGTTGGTCATCTCCATTTCCTTCTCTCCTCACGGTCAGTCACTCATCTTCTGCAGTCGCCTCGACTCCAGCAATGTTCTTCTTGATCGCGTCCTGCCAGCCCTTCATAGCAGGACGCGGAGTTAGGGGGTCGTAGGTTGGGAACGGGTATCGCCCAAACCCTTCATCTAGTCATCATCTAGTGACCCGGCGCTAGTATGATTTCCTTCAGGGCTGACAGCTTTTTATATCAAGCCTAATGCTCATGGATGCTTCAGCTAGAAGACGAATAGAAAGAGAGTCTGATTGGTTCTCCCACAGGAGCTCGCGGTGGACGCCCGGAGGGAGGTCGGAATCGGTAATCCTGTTATCTTCGCATTGTCGAACGAGGTCGAGGACAGCTTCCATCAAATAGGAACCGTATTATAGGGTTTGGACCCCCCATTACAACACTTATTTAGTGTGTATTTAAGAGGCACCTTTATACTCCTGGAAGTGTGAAGCCTAGAAGCTCCTCCACTGATAGCGCTCCACAGAACAAATTCTAACGGTTTCTAGAGGTGTGCCTGGCTGGTCCTGGTCACGACCATGACCAGTCAGGCACTTGCTTCGGCTCTGGTGCAATATGGAGCCAATCTGGAGGTGGCAGCAAAAAATGCAAAAACGGCAAAGCCCAGAGTTTCCGAACCATCAACCCATCCTAGTCGTCCTTCCTCGAAGTCCACATCGCTATCCACCACACCATCCGACGCTGCGGGCAGCTTAACCGTGGAGAGCCTATGTGAAACTTCCCCGCACTTTTCAACATGTGGCCCCCTTTTTTGGCTACCTTTCAGTTATTTTCAATGCGCAATCAACTGACGCCTCCTACTGTACGGACAGTCGACGGGGAGACGGGCGTCAGGAACGATATTGGGTAATCGATTTGCCGCACGCGGCTGTCCCGGACGACTCATTCGCCGTTATTACAGCTCTGGCGTTCTTCATACAGCTCAATCGATATGCGATCATTATTTTATGCATAATTCTACTATTAGCACTTTTATTCCTGTATTTTTTACCTACTGCTGCATCCTGCTACATTCCTTCGCGTGCGACGCCCCTATCACCGCGACGCTATAATTTCGTTCCTAACGCACCACACCCACAGTCGACGCCGCCATGAATGAAACAAACGACGCTGAGTGAGTTAAAACGGCGATTTCTGACAAAATCGTTTTCAGTCATTTTTTGGCATTCAGAAGGCCATTTAGCGGAAATGGACCATAGTTTTATACTCAGTGCTCATGCCCCTATACCATGGAAAAAACCATTTTCAAAAAGCGTCCCACGCCCTGAAAGACCTTTCTTGTGAGGTGCGCAGGGCAATTGTGAGGATGAAGGCTGGAAAAGCAACTGGTCCGGATGGGGTCTCCATCGAGGCATGGAAGGCGCTTCAAGAACACAGAATTAGGTGGCTCACCCGATTCCTGAACACTGTGACCGCTGAAGGAAGAATCCCAGAAACTTGGAAGAGGGGTGTGGGAACCTAGTTAAGACTGAGATCACTTCGCGTCGAGTTGCGAAGTGACCTCAATCGCAACTAACCTTATCTTTATTACGCACTTTCCCTCGATCGTAACTGACGTCACCTTACTTATGAGAATGATGGCGAATGATGAGAATGATGAGAAAATGAAACTTCAATAAGATAAGTTTTCAACGTAAAGTTTTGTGGTCTTTGGTTCAAAGAGATTTATTACCATGCAAGTTAGAAGAAATTCCAACAAAAAAAACCAATCAAGTGTAGAGAAGCCTGATTTTCCTAATAAAAAATATCTTAAAATCAATAATCAAGCAACTCAGATGGTTTTGTTCGTAGCGAATTTGGACGTCTTTATGCAAAACCGCTCAATTGGGATGCTACTTGCTCTCTGCTGATGAACTTCGTCGAATATGAGAAACGTAGATGAGTTAATGGTTGCGGTGCGGGTGTGAGCTGCGTTGTAGATTGCTTAGGTACAGAAGTGGCATAGTAAAAGGGTTGGGGCTGCGTTGAAGCTGAAGGATACCCCGTGAAATCTCGGAAATAGTAGAAAGTGTCCTCAGAATACATAGTGAGGTTCTAAGCAAGGCTCCTTTTCTATAGTCCATAGCTGCGTATAAATAACTTACCCACCAGGTTAAATAGTAGCTGTTGACCTCTCTTCAATGTACTGAATTTAGCCTGAAGTACTGTAATATTCCGCAAGAAGTATGAAATGCCTTGGCCTAACTGATCAGCCGGCGGGCGTTCATTGGCCTTTCAAAGGCGAGATACCTCAATATCAAGCAAATACGTCGCTTCTGTAAATGTTTGATATCACAGATGAGTGGAAGTTCAAAAAAATCAAAAGAATGCTTTTTACATCTTAAAAGAATTTCATTTTTATGACTATCGAATTTCTCCATTTTATATGGTAATAAAACTCTTTAAACCAAAGACCACGAAAATTATATGTTAAACAACCAATTTTCTTGAAGTTTCATTTTCTCATCACTCTCATCATTCGTCATCACTCTCATAAGTAAGATAAGGATAGTTACGATCGAGGGGAGGAGCGTAATTAAAATTAGTTACGATTGAGGTCACTGCGCACCTCCACGCGAGGTGATCTCAGGTAACTAAGTTCGCACATCCTTGGAAGAGTAGCACCATCATCCCCATATTCGAGCTCAAAGGGGACGCGATGGAGGTGCTCCAACTACAATAGATCAGGCTGACTACTCACACAATGAAACTGTTGGGAAGTCATCCAGATCTCACGGGAGCAATTCGGCTTCATGCCAGAACGGTCTACAACGGATGCTATCTTCATAGCCAGACAAGTAACGGAGAGGTATCGAGAGAAGCTTTGACCTTGCTACTTGGCCTTCCTCGATCTGGAGAAAGCCTCCGACCGCCTCCTGCTCTGGAACGCTCCGGCAACGAAACGTTCCAGAACACCTCATCTCCCTGGTCAAAGACATGAACAATGGGTCCACGAAAGCAATACGCACTCCACACGGCCTGACCGATGTAATAGACGTCACGGTGGGGGTGCACCAGGGATCAGCTAAGCCCGTTATTCTTCCTACTCACACTGGATTTCATCACAAAAGAACTCATGGATGTACCACTGAGGACCATCCTATACGCTGACGTCATCGCTCTGCTAGCGGGAAGCAGGGAAGAACTTCAGAACAAGCTGCAGAAATGGCAGAAAGTGCTGGCGGATAATGGGCTCTGGCTGAACGTGAAGAAAGCCATGTTCTTCAGCTCCGAGTGCACGGAGTCAATCGTAGACGGTCTCGGGGAAGTCATCGAAAGGTACAGCACTTCCGGTACTTGGGGAGTGATCTAGCCGCTGATGGTAGCGTGGATCAGGCTGTAAGATCCCGTATCCCGTATAAACGCGGCATGGATGAAGTGGAGGGAGTCCGCCGGTATCCTCTGCGACCGTCGGTATCCAGGGTGTTCAAAGGAAAGGTGTACACGACAGCAGAGAGGCTCGCGACGATCTACGTCAGAGTGCTGGCCCATAAATGGGAATCATGAAAGACAGCTTCACTTCGCTGAGATGAGGAGGACGCGACTGGACCAGATTAGAAACGAAGACGTCAGAGCGGTCAAGCCTACAGCCCCTGTTCAGTTTAAGCTGAGAGGGCAGCGTCTATGATGGTACGGACACGTACTGAGAAGACCACCGAATCATCCGATAGGGAATGCAATGGAGTTCGAGGCTCAGGGGAATCGACCATGAGGAGCCCTAAAGAAGAGGTGGCGGGACGTGATCAAGAAGGACCTCACCGAAGCCTGAGTTACGGCAGAAGATGCCGTAGATAGAAGGGAGTGGAGACAGATGACGAGAATAACGGACCCTGCAACGGCGCGGGATTAACGCTAGGAAGAAGAAGATGATGATGAAGATGAAGAAGAATATGGTTCGCTAATGGTTGCATAGGCCTCTCTGAATTCCTATAGCTATACTTTTTCACTGACAGAAAATGCAGAAAAGTTCAGGAAAATCACGTGCTCTCGATCTTACACGTAGTCAAGTCAGTTAGTAATCAGCCTACCATCTCTCCGGGGTCGGTTATGAGAATTATTTCTGACAAGCGGTGTGACACTAACTAGTGTTGCGGACAGATAGAGTCTATTATCGAGCACATATTTGAGTACTGTTCGTCATGTACTTTTGAGGCTGAATCAGTAGATCCTCCACGATGACATACCCTACTAAAGTGTAGTGATATATGTTGTCGTTTTGTGTACATTTCGAAGCTCTTTGCTCTTCACTTTTATTGGTGAGCCTTCGGCATATAATGCCTTCGTCAGACCTTAATTATCTACAATACATTGCTGCATACAATCTGTCACTATCAGTTACAATACAAAACACATCGA